TTTAAGATACATATGACTGTGTTGACGAGGAGACATTTTGACACACAACTGCATTTGAACATTTAAGCACAAGGCGCGAAAAATAACTCCAGTTTAGACTGGTGCTGTACGAGCAGGTAGGGCTGGATTTACCTCTTTTTGTGACATAGGCAAAACAAATTTTTGGGCCCCCCTTCCCTATTAATGTAATAGGCCTAATATTACCACCCAAGCAAATAAAAATATTTCTTAATCAGTGGAAACCGTTACAATGTTTTCTATCGCAATTAGTGCGTGTGTTCCGTCAAAAAAAATCAAATGTAGTTCTTAATTTGTTTGAGAACTGAGAAAGACCGTTCCATGTAAGCGTGGCATCGTGGCCACTTCGGGAGTGCATTATTTCTCCAATAATTTTAACGGCCTGGAGTCAAAACCACACATCAAGACATTGTTCAGATGATTTGTTTCAAGACATTTTACATGTTTCCGTCCTGAAATCTTGTGTGTTTTGAACTAATTTTTTGCGCACCTCATCCCAAACCTTCAGTTGCAAATTCCAAAACGTCATTTTAGAGCTAATAATGGATGCTTGAGCCATTGATATGCAGGCTAATGCGGTTATTAGAGAGGGAGAGAGAGAGAGATTAAAGGTGCAATAGGGGATTGTCTTTTTTGACAATGAAACATGTTTTGCTATGCTGGTTGAAAGTCTCTTCAAATCCCGATAGCAATCATCAAGTTAAGTGGTCTAAATGTATTTATCTGTATTTATATATTCTGTGGAAGGTGTAGGACCAATAAATGTTCGTCCAATCAAAATGCTCAGTCCGAGCATTTTAATTGGCTTTCATACCTGCCTGTCAATGTATGTATTTGCATACCTCTGTGCACCCTGTTCGCGCAGACAGGATACGTCATCAGCGCGTTCACGTACGCTGTGCAGACAGAGCAAGAATGGCAGACAAACATCAACAACCCGATCTGCTTTCCTTTATTGTAGTACTTTCACTAACTGTACTGTAAAGTTTTCTCACCGGTGAATGACACATGATGTAGCCCAGTGGTTCCCAATTCCAGTCCTCCCGCTATGCATATTTTGCATGTCTCTCTTAGTTAACACACCTGATTCAGATAACCAGCTCATTAGAAGAGAGCTACATGCATGAACTGTGTTCTGATTGACATGCTCCCTACACAGTGTTCTTTGCTCCCTACTCCCTGAGCAGGGGAAATCCGTTGAAGTTTACTTCACTTCGGAACATTCATTTACGGATTTGCGCTGCGCAGCGTCTTCACACACAGACGAAACTTACTAGAGAAGTGTGACATAATATACCTCTGTAAATAAATACTATTTAAATTGACATCTCGCACACTTTAATGCCCTTTGTATGGAACATATACGCTACCTTCAAACTGGAATCATGGCGGAATATCCGGTGATGTCCACTTCGCAGGGCACTTATGGTTGAATAGCACAAACGTCACATGTGATAAGCGATACATCTAAAATGGACTGGAATTGGGAACTGCTGATGTAGCCTATTGTAGTAATGTTGTCTCTGGTCATCTGGTCTGTGAGCGTATATGCGTTCAGGGGGCGTGGCTTTGGACGGCGATTGTAGGGAGGGTGGGACATTCGTTTTCAGTGCTATCAGGCTAAAAGTTAGCATTTTCCAAGATCTCCTACTGCACCTTTAAGTGCATGTAAATACCTGCGTCTGTGCGTCTCTCAGCAGCGTTCAGCAGCAGTGTCTATTAATAGCGAATCTTTAAGTTAAACTGCTTCAAGAACCTCACTACTGAGAAATGTTATGTAGCTTTTCAGCTGTGAAACTATTTTATTGATAAATTTGCGGGCCAGCGCTGACAAGAAGTTTCTGTTTGAGTCTCCGCGTGAGTGTCCTGTGTGTGCGTCTGTGAGAGAGACTGGGAGAAAGAAAGCGTGATTTCCATAGCTTACATAAAAAAGGGGGAAGACATGGAAATAGTTTGTCATTTTTACCCTGTTGTTTGTTATATTTATTTGCTCAATGTCTTCTGAGGTTTTGGTTCTTTTACTGTTGTAGATGGCTCATAGTATAACAAAAATATTATATATCTCTTCATTGTGTTTGGGCCCCCCTGGACAAGCGAGCATAGGCACATGCCTAGAATGCCTATGTGTAAATCCGAGCAGGTGCACGCCATGCGAATCAGGCCGTGACTGTCTTAATGCGCGCATTTGCCAAAATGAATTCTGCCCCACTGCTTAATGTCTCTGAACAGTTAAATTTGTTTTTAAACCACAATACTTAAAATTAGTTTAAATGAAAAGCTTAACCTAACATCATGCAGCGCAAAACGATTAATATATTTCTACCGGTTTATCTCTCAACCCATAAGCGAATGTACTTTTGTTCAAACACAAAAAGCAATATACATCTATCAAGTTGTTAACTTGTTAATCAAACTATCCTAAAATCTGTGGGGACGATGATGCTGTGATTTTATCTGCTCCATGTGCCCGGTCCACTTGCTTTAGTAAAATAACCTGATAGCTGGGGATTTTACTTACTAACTCATGTTTTCCCCTCTCTCCTCATTTTTTTTTTAGAATAGCCCCTCTCTCACGTTCTTTTTAGAATAGTTTACAATTTTACTTATAGAAGATTGTTCTTTGCATGTCCAAAGTTATGTTCCAGATTATGCTAGAACGAAGTGAAGAGAGGTGAATGCGGACATTGCAGCGATCACCTGATTGATACGTGGTGCACGGGTCGTTCAAAAGTAAAAATATAGAATAAATGCATTTGATTGGTAAACCAAAATCATACGTGACGTTTTAACCTCTAAAGGTAATGCATGGAATATATGGATAAGCTCCACTAAATAATAGTGCTAATAAGTGAGGGGTGAGGCTTTGGCAATCGGCGCTACCGATGACCAGTCAGTCTACTCCACAGCCAATCACGGGCCCCCTGCTTGTCCGGGCCCCAGGGCTTCAGCCCCGCCTAGCCCAATGGTTAATGTGGCCCTGGCTATAACAGAAACAAAATAAGAAGCTCACCTCAGTTTTATTCAGTGCTCCAAACTTAGCAAAAAAATATGCTATTTATATTGCCAAAAAGATAAAGTTCTGTTCAAATTTGACATTTTTACAGTTTAACAGAAAAATAAATCAGTTTATCACTTTAAACCTCACAATATCTCTTAGTAAATTATTTAAATGTTTAGTTTTATGATCATAAAAAGTAGATTTAATATAAAATAAATAAAGTAGATTTAATTTTGTGGGCCAAAACGTAATGCAATGGAATAATAATACACCTTTCTCAAATACCTGTTGGATCATGTGTGTGTGTATTAACATGAAGGGGAAAAAAAGATATGGATTATCAAGTAAGTTGATTCAGTCTAGGAAATGTTCATCCTGGAATATTAGTAACAATATAAAAGTTATTCTTAATGCTTACTTTATCAAAATTATTAGATGTGTAACCGAAGGTGGACATTTTTTGGATCATTAAAATGTATTTTACCTGCTAAAAAAGTATGAACTATTAATCAGATGACAGGGAGCATGTAGCATGGTGTGGTTTAATTCCAGGCTGCAACACAGGTCAGATTGTGTAGAGGAATTGTCTGGTTCCCGTGGTCTTGTGCCGATGGCCGTCTAGTTGACGTGGTCTTCGCAGGGGATCTGTCTATAGGGCTCATCTAGTTTACATGATCTCAGCTGACATTCAGGGCTGTAGAGGATGTCTCTAGGTGCTGATCCACCATCTGGTCTGGATACAGACTGGATCCGTATGGCTATGTTGACCTCGGAATAAGAATAAAACAGACTAATATTAGCGTAGATGCCATTCTTCTTACGATGTACAGGGCTCCAGACTAACTATTTTTACTAGGGGCACTGTAGCCCCTGACTGGAAATTTTTAGGAGCACAAGCAGAAAGTTTAGGGGGCATGCCTTAAATCAGCCTGCAATGCTGGCTAAATATGTCATTCACATATTTTCCCCATTTTAACTGTATTACTGACAAATGCTTTGATAATAAATACTTAACTCATAGAAATTACAATGTGCAGTATTCTTGTAATTTCAGAGGGATATGAAAAAGAATATATGATATGAAAAAAATTACTATTGTTTTGCATTAATAAGTGCAGTTACTAATAATATTACATGTTAATTTCTTGTTCATTTCATGTTTATACACATTTGACAGTAAAGCACTATGTTTGAGTTGGGAAGCTTACAATGTTTATTTTATTAACAACAGTAACGTGCAAAATCAAATTTTTTATGTAGAAAAGGTATATATTGTACTCTTATTAAATGTACCATTATTCTTATATAGTCTTATATGGAACTGACCAACAACTTCAGTTATTATGTGTGATTTAGTCGCAAATTGACGAAAAGTTTGTTTTTCAAAGCACTTTGTGATTTTCTCACTTCATACACAAAAAAAGAGCAAAACTCTGTCAAAATCTGATTTCTTTAAGATTTTATATTTTAGCCTAGTGATTTTATAATTATTTTATAATTTCAAAATATAAAGGAAAAATAGCTATAAATGAATGTCTAATAAGCCAACAAGTGCTCCTCTGATGCCATCTACAGGTTATAATGGTGATTTGATGTATTTTTTTTTAATTTTACACAAGTGTTTGTTCACCACAGTATATTTTGGTCATTCCATTGAAAATAACATTCAAATTGAATCATTTTGGAGCTTTAAAGTGCTGGCAACAGTTGTGTGAAATGCTTGTAAGTCATTGAAAATTGCTTGAATTTCTCTCTCAAAAGGTTGTAAAAACCCTGAAATGAATAATGTAATAACATGTGACTATTTCTACCACAGCACCAGGGTTACAGTTAGCGTTATTGCTTCTTGTTTTCTACGTCAGCGCTGTTTGATCTGTTTATCAGAATTACTGCAGAATTTGAATGGATCTCACTAGATCTCACAGCAATTTGGTCGCAGTCTGGAGCCCTGATGTAACGAGTACATTGGGTTTTATGGGAAGTGTTCCCAGTTCTGGTTGACCTAATTAATGCAGCCTAACAATCCTTTAACGGATTTAAGTTATAGAAATGTTTTGTTATGTGTAAGCCAGGTTAAAGAGATGGGTCTTTAATCTAGATTTAAACTGACAGAGTGTGTCTGCCTCCCGAACAACACTAGGTAGATTATTCCAGAGTTTAGGCGCTAAATAGGAAAAGGATCTGCCGCCCGCAGTTGATTTTGATATTCTAGGTATTATCAAATTGCCAGAGTTTTGAGATCGCGCAGCGGACGTGAATGACTATAATGCAATCTTGCAAAGATTATTACTATAAAGCAAAGATAATGGTCTTGCTCAAGTATTGAGGAGCTAAACCATCCAGGGCTTTATAAGTAATAAGCAAGATATTAAAATGCATATGATATTCAATAGGGAGCCAGTGCAGAGTTGACAGAACCGGGCTAATATGGTCGTACTTCCTGTTTCTAGTAAGAACTCTAGCTGCTGCATTTTGGACCAGCTGGAGTTTGTTTGTTATGCGCACAGAGCAACCACCCAATAAAGCATTACAATAATCGAACCTTGAGGTCATGAACGCATGAATTAACGTTTCTGCATCATAGGTCGGAATTTAGGCCTAGATGTATTTTTAAGATGGAAAAATACAGTTTTACAAATGCTAGAAACATGGTTTTCAAAGGAAAGATTGCTATTAAATAGCACACCTAGGTTTTAACTGACAAAGAAGTTACAGAGCAGCCATCAAGTGTTAGACAGTGTTCTAGATTATTACATGTGGTTATTATTTATTATTACATTTTTGGTCCAATAATTAACAAGTTTTTTTTTTCTTCAGTTTTTTTTTCTCCAGAATTTAACAGTAGGAAATTACTAGTCATCAAGTTTTATTTTGTATTTTTTTTATATCAACTATGCATTGCAACCCTCTACGCACACCTTGGCAATATAATTGCCATTGGCTTGTACATTTTTTCGTTTACTTGCCAGACTGATATACTACACTATTTTACACACACACATATATAGTGTGTGTGTGCGTGTTTGTGTGTGTGTGTGTGTGTGTGTGTGTGTGTATATATATATATATACAGTTGCATCTCAATAAATTAGAATGTCGTGGAAAAGTTCATTTATTTCAGTAATTCAACTCAAATTGTAAAACTCGTGTATTAAATAAATTCAATGCACAAAGACTGAAGTAGTTTAAGTCTTTGGTTATTTTAATTGTGATGATTTTGGCTCACATTTAACAAAAACCCACCAATTCACTATCTCAACAAATTAGAATATGGTGACATGCCAATCAGCTAATCAACTCAAAACACCTGCAAAGGTTTCCCGAGCCTTCAAAATGGTCTCTCAGTTTGGTTCACTAGGCTACACAATCATGGGGAAGACTGCTGATCTGACAGTTGTCCAGAAGACAATCATTGACACCCTTCACAAGGAGGGTAAGTCACAAACATTAATTGCCAAAGAAGCTGGCTGTTCACAGAGTGCTGTATCCAAGCATGTTAACAGAAAGTTGAGTGGAAGGAAAAAGTGTGGAAGAAAAAGATGCACAACCAACCGATAGAACCGCATCGTTATAAGAATTTGAGTGAACTTCACAAGGAATGGACTGAGGCTGGGGTCAAGGCATCACCCCCAGTTGTTGTCACACGTCGATTAACCGGTGGGAAAATTTCCTCACCGTCACAACCCTATATCGTCCTCTTTTGGAAGGCCAAACAAAGTAGTTTCGCTTTCATAACGAAACACACGGCAACAACAAAACTATATAGAGAATCAAAGTTACGCCTTCTTTCTTTGCCTGAACATTTGGGCGATATTATGCAAATCTTCCCACATTGTGACGTAGACATGTGGGGGCGTGTTAGAACGAGCCGTTTTAGGTAGGCATGGTTGACTCTTAACTTTTATAAAGAATATCTCTTTGGATTTGAGACTTTAGTCGTTGCAACTTTACAGATCTTCTTTATGCACCAAGAGCTTGTAACACTCCAAAGAGAAAGGAAAAATTGAAATCGCATCATATGACCCCATTAAGATATTGTTGGTCATTCAGGGTTTCTGTACCAAAAAAAAAAGATTTAATAGTAATTGCTGTTAACTATTATGATAATACTACTACTATACTAACAATATACAATGCACTAAGTATTGATGAGCTGCTGGGTTCATGAATATTAATTATGTTGTCAGCGTTAGCGCGAACTGATTTGCTGAAATCAAAACAGGGACGGTAATAGATGAGCGTCAGCCAATGAGATTGCCTTTTGCTCATTAGTTCCAGCCACTACCAGAGAAACCGGCATATCTACTGCTTGTTCTTAAAAGCTGAATAATTCTAAATGAACTCTGTTATTTTGACAGGAAAATACAACAAAGAATATGGTTTACATGTAGCTCGTTGATTCCGCGTGGTATGTAAGACTGTCGTTCTCTCTCTTTGCATGTGTGAGAAACAGCGCAAAGCGATGGCGTCTCGTGCGCCTTCATACTAGAGTTTACTTTGCATCAAATACAGGTACGCTGCGCATTCATTGAGCTGAAATAGTACAGATCGCTTGATGGAAAGCGAAACTCTCAAGCGCTCAGAGTGTTCAGCGAGTTAAAATATATCTATGCTAAACTATCTAATAATCTAATAATTTATTAGCCAATGGCTAATACATTATTTAGTCGCCCAGAGTGAAGATTTAGTCGCATATGTGAGTGATTTTCTTGCAATGTAAAAAAAAAAAACCTCTAGTTGCATTGCTATGAAGATAAAATATCTGAGTCTTTTCCCATTATACACTTTACAGTTTTTGCAAATCGGGACAAACATCTGTCTGAAAAAGTTGTGAAAAGCATTCCAGCCTTTATCAGTAAAATGGATTGTGAATGGCATTTTGTGTAGACTTGAACATTGATATTTGTTTGTTTCTCTGTTATACAGTTAAAAAGTAATTTTCTGCTTCATGTCACACAGATACTCAGCAAGATGGAGTTCTGCAAGGTCCAGTGGGTTCAGAGCTCTCAGAAATACGAGTAAAGATGGAGGTTGCCACTGTGATGTCCCATGAGCCTTTGACTCATGAAGCTTCTACCTCTACTTCGCACCTTTCTGAAGATTTTGAATGGCAGGAACCTCATCAGTTCCTCTCACTTCTGCCGAATGTGCTGTTGAAGAATGAAGATAGTGGTGGCACAGATCCACAGTCATCCATCACAGTTAAGTCAGATCAGTGTGATAATCAGACCGGTGAATCAAATTCATCTGAAGTGCAGTCTAGCAGCAACTGTCACGCTGAAATTCCAGTACCTGAACAAGGCCCACCGTCTCTTCAAGTTTACATTGAAACCTCCGATGAGGTGTTACAAAATGGAGTTCAAAATCACCAGAACACCTCAATATGCAAGATTTGTAGCAAGTCTTTCAGCACCAAAGGAAGTTTGCAGAGACATATGCTGGTGCACCAGAACATGGCGCATTTCTGCTGTGTTTCATGTGGGAGTCGTTTTAAATCGAAATTCCAATTGAAAGAACATGAGAGACTCCATACAGGTGATTACCACACTATTTATTGATTTCTCCGTAAAATCTTACCTGGTATTTATCCACCCATTTGAAAGTTTCATGCTCCAAAGTTAAGTGATCCGTGTAACTCCAATAGTTTCATGAAGCAATGTGATTGCTTTGGGTGTAAAAGAAAAATAAACGCAATATTTGAGTCACTGAGGTATTTATAAAGTGAACCGAAAGATGTCTTAAATTGGTGCTTTAGTCCAAAGAATGCAATTATATTGCCTTATGGAGTAACCCATATCAACATTGTGTTTTTAATCGATAATCACATTTGTAGACATTTCTTTCCCTACAGAAAGACGAGCAAAGAATCGGACCGAAGAACCAGTGAGCTCACAGCTCTCCCATGTGGAAATTATTCTGCAGCCGGACAGTGTAAATGTGAACGCAAACTCACGGCAATCTACTAGATTAAGTCTCTCTGCTCAGGTCCCTGGGAAGTTTTCTTTCCGTTGCAAGATATGTGACAGGCCATTCAAACGTCAAAAGAACCTGAAAAACCACATGCTTTTGCACCAATGTGATCGAAACTACCCCTGTATATTTTGTGGCAGAAGGTTTTTTAAGAGCTGGCATCTTGCAGAACATTTAAGAATTCACACTGGTGAAAAACCATTTGGATGTAGTAAATGTGGAATGGCGTTTGTTCAGTGGAATCAAGCAAGATCACATATAATTAAGCATCATGAAGGAGATATGTCACTGTTATCAAAGGAAAAAACCTAAACCTGTAAATATTTACTTATTACCACCTCTTTAGCAAATAAATTAGAATAGTATGTTAATTTTGAATGTACTTTCCTAATTATTTGCATGCAAAGATTGTTACAGAGAGACTTTTATCTCGTGTTGTAGATGCATACTCTTCCTTTATCTCATGTCTGTCATTAAAAGAGCTTTCATAGTGATTTGTTTCTAACTTCCGCCATTTTTTTTTTTTATTATTTTTTTTTTAGTACATATATTATAATAATCTCTTAAATTCAATAGGTCATCATTGTACAGTTCTTTTTAAAGCTTCATTAAACACTGCTTTAATTGGTTTGACATTATTGTCATTGTCATCCCCACCAAGCAAACAAAGGCAACTTATGCTTATAAGTGTGCTTTTTCTTAGGAGTATTTTTTTTTATGGACTCTGGAAAATGTTTCAAAGTGCTTTAATGGCACGAAAAGCCATTATAGAATATGTGCGCGGGTTAGGGAGATTGATTCATTTGTGTTAAATCCTTAAATGTAAACCTCTAATATCCATTCCAATCATGCAAGTAAGAACAATATATATATGTCTACAGTGTTGGGGGTAAGACGCTGCAAGTAACGTGAGTTCCGTAATCAGATTACTTTTTTCAAGTAACACATTACTTTTTAGTAATGCCAGTTAGTAATGCCAGTTAGTTTTCAAATGTATTGACTGACAGATCTTCTGTCCCCATGTTGAGGGAAATCGGGAGTAAGTGCAAAGTACAAGCATGCACACAATTATAATGATTCTGTTTGTTTGAATGGGTTGAGCATCATGCTGAATTCTGATGTCTGTCAGTTTTACAACAGCAGTAAACAGACTTAATTTTATAAGCCCTTATGAACATGTACAAGATACAGGTCAGCATATGGGTTCAGATCCAGGAGACGCAATAGGAAGTAGTGAACTTTAAGAAGTATTAAGGCTAAGCTTAAAGTGTGTGTGGGGGGGTACTCATTCAAAAATGTCATTCCATACCCATGAGATTTTCAAAACCTATGCAGTACATTTAGTATCCATCTTTTACTTTGGGAAGTTTTTTTTTTTAAATCTCCCACTGCCCTATGTTGAGAGAATATTTAGTGGTATGTTGACATTGTTCAGAAATCTGCAGTCGTTACACGTGAAATACAAAACTGACAATATACAGAAGAGTACATGATCTTTCCTGGAATCACTTTACCTTTTTTTTTTACACTAGAGAGTCAACATATGATGTACAACTGTACTACATGTGTTATGTTTTACATACAAATATCCACAGCGACACTAGTATGATGAGGGGCTGATGACTCCTGGACTAGGGAACCGGTGTCAGGGTCATTGTCACCCAAGTCTCATTGATGCACATGGGGAGTGAAGGCAAGTCTATCTGGTCAGATCACACAGAAGAGCTACTGTAGCTCAAATTACTGAAAAACGTAATGCTGGCCATTATAGAAAGGTGTTAGAACACAGTGCATCACAGTTTGCTGCGTATGGATCCTGTTTATCTGCAGACATTGTCTTTTAGATCAGATGGACGGCTGGGTGTGTGTTTCATTTACCTGGGGAAGAGATGGCAGCTGGATGCACTATGGGAAGAACGCAGGCTGGCGGAGGCAGTGTTATACTCTGAGTACAAGAGATCAAATTCCCCAGATCTCAACCCGATTGAGCATCTACATGCTGGACCTGATCCACGAAGGCCCCACCTTGCAACTTGCTGAACTTAAAGAATCTGCTGCTAATGTCTTGGTGTCAGAGACCACAGAGTGGTGTTTCAGAGGTCTTGTGGAGTCCATGCCTTCGACACATCAGAGCTGTTTTGGGAGCATGAGGGGGACCTACACGATAATAAGCAGGTGGTTTTAATGTTGCAGCTTATCAGCGGTTCTAACCTGGCTTAGAGGAAGATAGGAACAATATCGTTGTGGCAGTTTTTCTGGTGATTAAGGGAAAATACAAGACTTATAATTGTCACTGGTTCAACATGTAGCTCTTGTAAGTAATTAGCAGTGGCTGGGACAGACTTTCAGTATCACCTCTAATTAAAAGATGCAATCTAATCTTGTTTACTGTCACAATCACCCACTGGAGTGCCCATGACCTCCAGCAGAGGGCACTCCATCCATGACTTTTATTATTCACCAGGATTCCATTTCCCACAATCCTTTGCCTGGACTCATACAGTTCACAGCTGCCTCATATTAGTAGTACTATAAGAATAGCACACACACACACGCACACGCTCTCTCACACACTCACACTCACTCTCACACACACTCTCTTTTCACTGGTGATTGAATATTGTTTAGCTCTTCCGTGTTTCTTAGTTTCCATTAGTTTCCGTGTTTTGATCCCTGGACTGTCTCCTTTGTTTATTATTGTTTGCTGCCTGCCCTGACCTTCGCCTGACTTGTGGATTAACCTTTTGTCTTTGCCCTGGATGTGTTTGTTTGCTGGCATTTGACCCTGCCTGTTCTGACTATGCTTTTTGGAATAAAGCCTGTACGTGGATCCCCACTTTGTTGTCATGCCTCCCTTCATTACATTTATGTGAAACAAACCTCAACCGAGCAAATTTGAGCAATGACAGCAACTCCGAGGATGAGTTTTAAAGAACAGTCCAGGATCATGCCAAATTATCAATAGTAAAGTGATAATTAACTAAGTAACTGAGTAATCCATATATGGGCCCCTGGAAACAATTTTCTGTTTAATAGTGTGGACTTTTTTCATGGACATGGGAAGCACTTGGTCTTAAAAAATGCATTACTGGAACTACCTTTTGGGTAGTGCTGACACACCGTTTGGCAACACGAGTTCAAGTCCAACAATGGTTCCTGTCCACTCTATACTCTACTATACTAATAAAGATAAAAATGCAAATAAATAAATAAATAGGAATAGATTCAGTTGTGGTTGCACATAATTATTTAACAACATTAGTACAATACACAATAGAAATGGAATTAATTCACTAAAAAGTTAAAACAGCACAAAACAAAACAATAAAGGTGATGTACCTTGCTCAACTTGCCAAAGGATGTTATTGAATAAATGTTTAACTGTGGAACTTTTATCGCAACACGTTCTCACTCCCAACTCGTCACATATTAACGCTTGGTCAGGACCCCTTGGCGTCACTTTTTAACACTCCGGGTACCCCTTTAGCATAATTTTTCGATGTGCAGGGTACTCTGTTGCTTTCAGTTGTATGCTTTTTGCGTCAGCTCAAAGCAGATTTAATTCTTTGCATGCATTTTTAAAAATTGAAGTCATTTTTTATTCATTATACTTTCATGGATATTTTTGGAGTACCTAACCCATCCCCACCCTAAACCTACCTAGTTCTCAACAATATATACACGTCAGGCAAATGAACGTACAGTCACAGGTATTTATTGCAAAAACTGACGAAAAAAAAGCAGTATGAAAGTATTACAAACAAGTAGTTTTCTTTATGACAAGAACAGAGTAAAACATAAGGTCAAAATTATTAACAACAGAACTATTAATTCCTTTATAAAACATAGCAATGGTGTCAACAAAGGCATCCCCAAAACTGAACAACTTAAAGGGGTCATATGATGCGATTTAAATTTGTTCTTTCTCTTTGGAGTGTTACAAGCTCTTGGTGCATAAAGAAGATCTGTAAAGTTGCAAAGACTAAAGTCTCAAATCCAAAGACATATTCTCTATAAAAGTTAAGACTTGTCCACGCCCTCCTAAAACGGCTCATTTAAACACGCCCCCACATCACCGCCCAAATGTTCACACAAAGAAAGAATGTGTAACTTTTATTCTCGCTGTAGTATTATTAGTAGTTAAACCGCATAAACACATTGCATTACACCAAAAACACCACAACATAAAGTTCTTTTTAGCAACATCATATGACCCCTTTAATATATTTTAAAAGAAATTGGTGCTCAATCAAGAAAAATAATAATAATATTTGATTGCACAGAATCAGTATAGTCAAGCAAATCCAAGACTAATCCTATATTGTTTGATATATGACAAACCTTTAAAAAAACAGATTGAGTTTCAGAAATTATAGGGTTAAGATACATTTTTAATCTATTGACACACCAAAGCCAGAATTTTATAATCTACAGTTAAGAGCGTAATTGGCCGCCAATTATCAATTGAAAGAATATCTTTATTAAATTTAGGGATAAAAGAAATTATCCCTTGTTTCATGGTCACTGTCATCTCTCTTTGAACAGTGCATTCTTTATACATTTTTATTAAATAGCTTTTAATAGTATCCCAAAAGTGAGTGTAAACTTTACCAGAAAGGCTGTTGATGCCAGGAGATTTTCCTTTTTTCATCGACTGGAGTGCCTTCCATACTTCTTCACACTTTAACTCAGACTCACAATATGATTTATAATCTTCGTTGATAGCAGGGATACAACACTGTATTTTATCAATAAAGCTTTCACAAATATTAACATCAAATTTAGAAGAGTAAAGCTTGCTATAAAAATTTGTAATACATTTATTGAACTAGATCTTTACAAACTTCTCCATCAATATTAAGAGCTGAAAGAGATTTTTTCTTTCTTGTCTTATGAATGCCCCTTTGGCTATTTCTAAATAAAGTACATTGATTTGGAAATTGATCTTAGCCAGCTCAAATTTTTCTTCTTCTGTAATATTCTATTTCGATGATAACTCATTTAATCGATAAAGCAGATTGAAGTCTAGAGACTTTCAGTTCTTTACATATTTTAATAGCAATGAATCTAGATTTATACTTGAAGAACACCATATTTCTTTATAGTCATTATGTACATTAGTAAATAATTATTTCGCAAGGTTAATGATGCTATCGTTTAATGTATTATCCTTCAGTAGAGCATTATTAAATTTCCAGTAACACCGCAATTTAGAATTAGGATGCAAACCAAGGTTTATTAAAGTTTGCTTATGGTCTGATAGGGGAGCAAAGTAATGTTGAAATGTCCTTAACAAGGTGAAGAATTGAAGAGGAAATAAGAAAAAACATTTCTAGATCATAGAAAGGACTCTAATTATGTTTCTTCCAGCTGCGCTCCATTTTCCAGGCTGCTCTTTTTAGGGTGCAAGTATGCTCGTTATACCATGGTGTCGGACTGTTTTCCTTAATCTTCTTTAAGAGAAAAGGAGTAACAATATCTAAAGTGTGCACTTAATAAA